AATTTGATCTCACCGTGGTCCTCGCTAAAGTCCATAAATCAGCTGTCTTCCAAATGCGATATCTCTGCCGTTTGGGATCTTATTATCCTTCAAAGCCCATGGTTGAAAAGATATTTGTCTGTAGTTTCACCGCCATTCCATGCTTACGACCAGTGGTATTTATACTTCACGAAATTGTCCTTCTTTTAAGCTTCATTATTGCTTACTGCCACTGAATGAGCCCAAAACCGGGCATTTCGACCAGCAGTCATTATCATTTTTAGCGGGATATTTTGAAATTTTTGAGCGAAAATTTATTCCACCTTCATTGCCATGTCAGACAACTTAACGTGGCGAGAGCAGTTAAAAACTAGTTTGAAAGTAACATTTTCACAGCCGCATAGGAGAAGCTAAATTCGGTGAAATCGAAATCATCAATGCAAATAGTCACATTATGATAATATTCTACACCCAGATACGCGGTTTCCCTCTTTTCGATGATTCTATCCACCTCAAAATATTTAGTCCTTGGTTTCTTAGCAGTGTTATTGTAGCCAAGAAGCGCGAACATAAAGTGTGTGCTGTTATGTCGGACGGGCAGTGCTCCAGTGGCGCCGATACTGCAAAGAATTTTGCCAAGTTTGGCCACGGCGAGACTGAGTGCTCAGCAATAGGGGCTAACAACAAAGTCTATAATTTTGAAATGACTTTCTACATGGACAATAAAGTTGGAAACCCGTGTATTAAGACAAAAATTAAATAATTCATCATTATTAAGTCCATGTTCAGCAGTGAGGACTTTCATGACGTGTGCTCAAAACATTAGATTGAAAAAAAAAAAATCGATTTTAATAAGCTGATTGAAGATGGGAGACCAACAATTTTGCACTTTGAGCAGCAAAATTTGTGCTACGAAATTCCAAATATGTTCTTACCTCCGTTTAGTGGTATCAAATGCTTGATGCAAACTAACTGAAAATAACCCGAGTGCACATTATCAAATCTATCTGTCTTCCGCATATATTTTAACCACTTCTGGTCATCTTCATTACCTAAGAGGTTCCTTAGTCATTCAAAAGTTGTCAGTTGTATAAAATCAAGCAAGCCATAAATTCAAACTTGTATCCCATTTAGAGGCATATTTCGTCTAAATGGTGTTTCCTAATATCTATTTTTACCCGAAAATGATACGTTTCAGGGACTTGCTTTGAGCTTCTCGTTCCATTCAGTTAATAATGAAACACATATTTCAATGAAGCTAGCTGGTAGTCGGCTGGTAGTAAATTAGTCAGAGTCTAAGTCGCATCTTTTTTAGTAGTAAAATTGTACATAATTATTGTTATGTCGACCGGAGATAATACACACTGAAAAATAATGGCTGATTTGTTTTCTGTCTTACAGTCCTGCTACCATATATGGAGTGCGAGTCTGTTGGATGCTTTAATGGCTGATTTGTTTTCTATCTTGCAGTCCTGCTACCATATATGGAGTACGAGTCTGTTGGATGCTTCAAAGACTCAAATGAACGAGCTATTGAGAGCGTGGATGGAAAAAATCATCACAATTTTCCAAGTCCATCCCTACTAAGCAATGATTACAAAACAAGACAACAAGCAATCCAAAAATGTGCTGTATTTGCAATGCTACAAGGGTATAAGATGTTTGGGATTCAAGATGGCGGTATGTGTGTTACAAGTCCCACGGCTCATAAAACATACAACAAATACGGTGAATCACAAGAATGTAAAAGCGATGGCAAAGGAGGACTTTTGGCCAATCAAGTTTATCGTTTCCCGGGAAGAAAAGGTAAATTCATGTTTTGTGATAACAAGAGCGGATCTTACAACTACTGAAGCAGAGGGCTCGACCCTTCTCACTTAAATTATAGGCCATTCTGAAATTGCGCAGAGAACTGGGGCGAGTTTCAAATTTTAACCAATCGATAAACTGACACAACCACATGAAAGAGCACGTGGAGATTAGTCATTTGACCAAGTTTGATGCTTTTAGGGTGAACAGAGACCAAGTTATAGACCTTGAAAAGTGGTTCAAAATCCATACAAACGTCAACCTCGTTCCCAGAGTCTGTCATCTTACCGCCCCCTGCTTGAGAGACCCTGGGAACGAGGTTGTGCAAACGTCTCTAATGTTGAGACAGCGTCCCCCAAAACCATATAAACTCTTAAAATTTTTAATGATTTCTGTGATACTCTTAAAAATTGGCAAACACACGTGATTTTCATCTCAGCTTCTTTCGAAAGGTAGGTGAATGACGGGATTTACAGTTGTCAAAAAACTGATTAAAAAAAGTCATTGTAAATAAATTCAATGGAGTGTTTTGAAGTTGTCTCAAAAACTTTGGTTGGTTGTAATGGCGCGTTATCCTGTGTTTCTTTCGCCGTACAATTTTAAGCAAACAAAAAGTCGATTGCAGTCCAGTTTACCATTCTGATCGTGGCTGTATCTGTGGAATACACTTAACGAATTTCCTCGCTTTCTGCTACTCAATTTACGTTCAAAAAGTCTGATCTCGAGTGATTCGCAACGACTGAAAGAAATTGTATTCGTAGTACTATTTCGAACTTTGCAAGAAATTTCACACCGGAAAAACAATTTTGGAGGACTTAACTGGTGAACTAGATGCAACTCAGTGGCGGATATAGGGGAGGGACCTCGGGATCCCTCCTTATTTTGGGCGAAAAAAACAATCGCAGAAAGAAGAAAAGCCGGCGGGGCAAGCAAAAAAAGCCCCCCTCCCACCACACACACACACCCCTTGTCTCACGGTCTGGATCCGCCACCTGAACTAACATAAGATATTTCGAAATAAATCTCTTCTTGAAGACATCTTTCTTTGTCTAGTATGTGATCATGAGTTACTCCCTCGTTTGCTCGTTAAAATTTACGACAGTTTGTAGACGGCACGTAAACCAATTCAGTGACAAAGTTGCGTAAACAAACCACTTGTAAGCCAATCTACTGCGAGAAAAGAATGTTATTTGCCCGCTTGGGGTGGGTCTGTATAGTGAAAAACTGTGACTGAGGTCATGAAAATGCTGCCCATGGCCGCAGGCAAATAACATGTATATCTATTTTTAAGACATAATCGGCGTTAATGGTTTTTTTTTAAATGGTTTACATCAGCTGGTTTGACGGTCTGTAAGCTCCCCTTTTAAACCTATTATCAGTTATCGTAAAGGTTGTCATGTAAACGACACAAGTTATTCAATATTAAATAAAACTGTTGGAGCGATCTGTGCCCATGATTAACGCTCTAAAAAAGGAGTTTGAAACAGATCTAAAAAAGCGTTAAAATTGTTACTTGCTGCGGTTCGAAGAATAGCAGCAAATCGTTGTTTTCACGGTTCGTCGGTTTTTGACAGTTTCTATGGTGACGCAAGTACTATAAGGACGTGATTTTGCTGAGTTGAGCCATTCTGTGCTGACGTCGCTGCCAACTTGCTTTCGTTTCGAGATTTTTTATCGTTTTCGTTTTGATTTATTTTGTTTTCTTACAGTTGTTGGATTTGTCACCCCTCACCCTCAGGTATTTGTTAAGTGCATGGCTCTGCATTCGGGAGGGTTCAGGTTTCCTCTAAAAAGGGGGTTTTTCCTGACGGACAGCAGGCACTATATTGTTATCTGGACTTCTGTTAGTCTGATTTCATATATGTATCTTTTGGTTTAATAAATACAAACGGGGTCTGTTGCTCGCAGAATGCTGCAGTCCGTTATCCCGTGCATCAGTCAGTTCTTGCTTATCCAGTGCAGCAGTCAGTTCCCCTATTTAACAAGTGACAAGTTACTAACTATGGTTTGATTTGTTGTCTATTGGAGGGAATAGGGGATACCTGAATTTTCGACCGCCTTCTGCGGTCTTCTTCAGAGAAATGTACTCTGCAAGAGTCACGGAATGCAAATATGTAGCTTAGACGTTATTGTTCGTTGCCCCTTGGGGAGGAAGCCAGTGATGCATTAACCCTTGGAAGGGTGCTCTTTCATTAACAGAGTTCTTGTCCAGGAATGAATGTAATGACTCTAGAAAAAGCCTTTTGTCCTTGTTTCTCACGCCTGTTTCCAAAATGCTCGCATAATTAGGGTGTATGTTGTGGTCAGTGGTTTCGGCATGCTGTTTTACCGCGGAGCCGACATTCCCATTCGTTCCAGGCACGTGTTCAGCTCTCTGAGACTTCCAACTTCTTTTACTCTCTCCAATATATGTAAATGGACATGCTCTGCAACTCACTTTGTACACAATTCCTTTCAACTGTTCTTTTGTCGGTCGGTCCTTAGGTTTCTTGAAAACATTACCCAATGTTTTAAGTGGTTTGAAAGCTCTTTGATGTTTTCGCGGTTGAAAATCCGTCTAATTCGCTCCGACACCCCTTTAACATATGGAATTGACGCCTATGCTTTTTGGTTCTCCCGAAGCTTTGGTTGTGTGTTTTTTGGTCGATCGACCGATTTAATGAAGTTTCCAGGTTAGCCATTAGCTTTTAGGTCGTTGATAACACGTCGCTCCTCGCTCTGTCTTTGCGCAGTTGTTGATGGAAGCATTTAGCACGGTCCAATCAGGTCTTATTAACAGCTCTTTTGCTTTTCACTGGGCTGTGTGAATGGAAATCTAAATGCTTGCTCGTACGTGTGGCCTTGCGGTATACACCCACCTCGATCTTCCGTCTTCATTCACAGCGTTGTTGGTGTCCAAGAAGGCTATGCTCTTCTTGCCCAGGGTTGTTGTAGGCATCTCCGCTGTAAACTGAATGTTGTTATTAATCGTCTCTCTTGATGCACGCGTTGGAATCGTCGACGTAGTGGCGCCACCATTTTGGTTTGATGGGCGAAGTTTCTAATGCTTTCTCCTCAACTTCTTGCATTACAAGCACTGCGATGACCGCACTGACTGGAGATCCCACGGTCAACTGGAGGTCCCATGGTCCCATGATCCCAATATTCAATGTTTATTTATTCATGTTTAGTTTGACGATAATGTTCCCTGCGTAACGGGGGAATTAGCATATATTTTCCGAGCCTCTAAAAGATATAGATACATATATTTTTTAAGGGGAGGGAAATCTTGTATTCGACAGGTGCGTGCATGAAATTTGAATTGAACGATCAGGATTCAGCATTCAGGCAGTACATCCTTCAGCATTCATTGCATCCCCCAAACCACCAGGCGACTCGCGCCTTCGGCGCTCGATTGACTTTCATTTCGTTGCGCAATCCATGAAAATTGCGCGCTAAGCCCCTGAAAGTTTCTAACACGTCTTTATTGTTTCAGATTCTTTTGACGCCGTTAACATCACATCAATCGGATGTTACCGTGACTTAGAGGATTATCCGGCTATCCCTAGGCTAGAGGGACAAGACCCGCGTCTGGATGGAGCGAACTACAAAGGGAGAACCGATGCAATAGAAAAGTGTGCATTTGTAGCTAAGCAACGCGGGAACAAAGTGTTTGCTCTTCAAGATGGTGGCATGTGCTTAAGTAGTTCCACTGCGCACATGACCTTTCAGGTATATGGCTCGTCAAGTCGGTGCAAAAGCGATGGAAGAGGAGGGAAAGAAGCAAATTATGTTTACGTTATTGGAGGAATCAAGGGTATGACCACTTTGTTTATTTTTTATTTATAAAAATAGATGAAAGCTATTGAACAATGAAGGGGAGCAGGACACATAAAACAGCGTCAATTTTCTTTAAAGATAAACTAAGCAAAAAAAGAAGAAAAAAAAAAAANGATTATGCAACAGACAAACTTAAAGAATGTTCGATAAAATCTTATCCCTTGTCATCAACTGCAGCGTGTTAAATGTTATATGAACTTTTCGTCTAATTGACAAAGCGCAAGAAAGCTAAACAAGTTTAATTTTAAGATATTATAATGGGGTAGTCAGAACCTCCTTTTAACGTGGTTCTGAACCCCATAGACAGAATGTTTAAAACAATTTTTAAAATTTAGTTATTTTGTCAAAATTTTCAATATAATTGTTTTTCGAAAAGACAAAAATGAGCCACAATGAATAGATTTGCCGAGTAATTTTCAAGTTTTTATCGTTAACAGGTCAGGGGGTACTCTCACCTCTGGTAACTGTAGCAACTAATTTTTTGCGCCTCGGTGGCACGTCACTCATTACCAACTCGTCACAAACCTGTACAGGCTGATTTGTCGGTGGCATCGCTAAAAATTAGCGCCATCTACATGAGCCCGCGCGTATTATGTCGTAAGGATTATCGAACCGGCGTAGAAAATCACGCAAAAGTTATCAAGAAAACGTGGGACGATTGAATTATTTCACGAAATGTCTCTTGTGAAATAAGCACGGTTAAAAATTATGGGTTGCATAGAGTAGACTTGTTTATATACATTATTTTTAAAACATATCGTACAAAACTCAAAGTAACTTCTATAAATTTTATGATTACTTGTGAACCGTTTTTACGAACAGTTGCGGCGTGAAAATGTGCAAGGCATAAACATTTTAAATTTTTGTGATTCAAAACTCAAAACGCCAAACAAGGTTATAAACAGCAACTTTCGGCAAGCTGAATGCGGTCGAAAAATGCGAGGGCAAGCCTGAAAAAACATAGGTTAAAATAACCTACTTACGTTTTACAGTTCTCTGTGTTTATTTCGATGATTAATTGTTCCATGCATTTGAAAGCTCAGCAAAAATTAATTTGATCTCACCGTGGTCCTCGCTAAAGTCCATAAATCAGCTGTCTTCCAAATGCGATATCTCTGCCGTTTGGGATCTTATTATCCTTCAAAGCCCATGGTTGAAAAGATATTTGTCTGTAGTTTCACCGCCATTCCATGCTTACGACCAGTGGTATTTATACTTCACGAAATTGTCCTTCTTTTAAGCTTCATTATTGCTTACTGCCACTGAATGAGCCCAAAACCGGGCATTTCGACCAGCAGTCATTATCATTTTTAGCGGGATATTTTGAAATTTTTGAGCGAAAATTTATTCCACCTTCATTGCCATGTCAGACAACTTAACGTGGCGAGAGCAGTTAAAAACTAGTTTGAAAGTAACATTTTCACAGCCGCATAGGAGAAGCTAAATTCGGTGAAATCGAAATCATCAATGCAAATAGTCACATTATGATAATATTCTACACCCAGATACGCGGTTTCCCTCTTTTCGATGATTCTATCCACCTCAAAATATTTAGTCCTTGGTTTCTTAGCAGTGTTATTGTAGCCAAGAAGCGCGAACATAAAGTGTGTGCTGTTATGTCGGACGGGCAGTGCTCCAGTGGCGCCGATACTGCAAAGAATTTTGCCAAGTTTGGCCACGGCGAGACTGAGTGCTCAGCAATAGGGGCTAACAACAAAGTCTATAATTTTGAAATGACTTTCTACATGGACAATAAAGTTGGAAACCCGTGTATTAAGACAAAAATTAAATAATTCATCATTATTAAGTCCATGTTCAGCAGTGAGGACTTTCATGACGTGTGCTCAAAACATTAGATTGAAAAAAAAAAAATCGATTTTAATAAGCTGATTGAAGATGGGAGACCAACAATTTTGCACTTTGAGCAGCAAAATTTGTGCTACGAAATTCCAAATATGTTCTTACCTCCGTTTAGTGGTATCAAATGCTTGATGCAAACTAACTGAAAATAACCCGAGTGCACATTATCAAATCTATCTGTCTTCCGCATATATTTTAACCACTTCTGGTCATCTTCATTACCTAAGAGGTTCCTTAGTCATTCAAAAGTTGTCAGTTGTATAAAATCAAGCAAGCCATAAATTCAAACTTGTATCCCATTTAGAGGCATATTTCGTCTAAATGGTGTTTCCTAATATCTATTTTTACCCGAAAATGATACGTTTCAGGGACTTGCTTTGAGCTTCTCGTTCCATTCAGTTAATAATGAAACACATATTTCAATGAAGCTAGCTGGTAGTCGGCTGGTAGTAAATTAGTCAGAGTCTAAGTCGCATCTTTTTTAGTAGTAAAATTGTACATAATTATTGTTATGTCGACCGGAGATAATACACACTGAAAAATAATGGCTGATTTGTTTTCTGTCTTACAGTCCTGCTACCATATATGGAGTGCGAGTCTGTTGGATGCTTTAATGGCTGATTTGTTTTCTATCTTGCAGTCCTGCTACCATATATGGAGTACGAGTCTGTTGGATGCTTCAAAGACTCAAATGAACGAGCTATTGAGAGCGTGGATGGAAAAAATCATCACAATTTTCCAAGTCCATCCCTGCTAAGCAATGATTACAAAACAAGACAACAAGCAATCCAAAAATGTGCTGTATTTGCAATGCTACAAGGGTATAAGATGTTTGGGATTCAAGATGGCGGTATGTGTGTTACAAGTCCCACGGCTCATAAAACATACAACAAATACGGTGAATCACAAGAATGTAAAAGCGATGGCAAAGGAGGACTTTTGGCCAATCAAGTTTATCGTTTCCCGGGAAGAAAAGGTAAATTCATGTTTTGTGATAACAAGAGCGGATCTTACAACTACTGAAGCAGAGGGCTCGACCCTTCTCACTTAAATTATAGGCCATTCTGAAATTGCGCAGAGAACTGGGGCGAGTTTCAAATTTTAACCAATCGATAAACTGACACAACCACATGAAAGAGCACGTGGAGATTAGTCATTTGACCAAGTTTGATGCTTTTAGGGTGAACAGAGACCAAGTTATAGACCTTGAAAAGTGGTTCAAAATCCATACAAACGTCAACCTCGTTCCCAGAGTCTGTCATCTTACCGCCCCCTGCTTGAGAGACCCTGGGAACGAGGTTGTGCAAACGTCTCTAATGTTGAGACAGCGTCCCCCAAAACCATATAAACTCTTAAAATTTTTAATGATTTCTGTGATACTCTTAAAAATGGGCAAACACACGTGATTTTCATCTCAGCTTCTTTCGAAAGGTAGGTGAATGACGGGATTTACAGTTGTCAAAAAACTGATTAAAAAAAGTCATTGTAAATAAATTCAATGGAGTGTTTTGAAGTTGTCTCAAAAACTTTGGTTGGTTGTAATGGCGCGTTATCCTGTGTTTCTTTCGCCGTACAATTTTAAGCAAACAAAAAGTCGATTGCAGTCCAGTTTACCATTCTGATCGTGGCTGTATCTGTGGAATACACTTAACGAATTTCCTCGCTTTCTGCTACTCAATTTACGTTCAAAAAGTCTGATCTCGAGTGATTCGCAACGACTGAAAGAAATTGTATTCGTAGTACTATTTCGAACTTTGCAAGAAATTTCACACCGGAAAAACAATTTTGGAGGACTTAACTGGTGAACTAGATGCAACTCAGTGGCGGATATAGGGGAGGGACCTCGGGATCCCTCCTTATTTTGGGCGAAAAAAACAATCGCAGAAAGAAGAAAAGCCGGCGGGGCAAGCAAAAAAAGCCCCCCTCCCACCACACACACACACCCCTTGTCTCACGGTCTGGATCCGCCACCTGAACTAACATAAGATATTTCGAAATAAATCTCTTCTTGAAGACATCTTTCTTTGTCTAGTATGTGATCATGAGTTACTCCCTCGTTTGCTCGTTAAAATTTACGACAGTTTGTAGACGGCACGTAAACCAATTCAGTGACAAAGTTGCGTAAACAAACCACTTGTAAGCCAATCTACTGCGAGAAAAGAATGTTATTTGCCCGCTTGGGGTGGGTCTGTATAGTGAAAAACTGTGACTGAGGTCATGAAAATGCTGCCCATGGCCGCAGGCAAATAACATGTATATCTATTTTTAAGACATAATCGGCGTTAATGGTTTTTTTTTAAATGGTTTACATCAGCTGGTTTGACGGTCTGTAAGCTCCCCTTTTAAACCTATTATCAGTTATCGTAAAGGTTGTCATGTAAACGACACAAGTTATTCAATATTAAATAAAACTGTTGGAGCGATCTGTGCCCATGATTAACGCTCTAAAAAAGGAGTTTGAAACAGATCTAAAAAAGCGTTAAAATTGTTACTTGCTGCGGTTCGAAGAATAGCAGCAAATCGTTGTTTTCACGGTTCGTCGGTTTTTGACAGTTTCTATGGTGACGCAAGTACTATAAGGACGTGATTTTGCTGAGTTGAGCCATTCTGTGCTGACGTCGCTGCCAACTTGCTTTCGTTTCGAGATTTTTTATCGTTTTCGTTTTGATTTATTTTGTTTTCTTACAGTTGTTGGATTTGTCACCCCTCACCCTCAGGTATTTGTTAAGTGCATGGCTCTGCATTCGGGAGGGTTCAGGTTTCCTCTAAAAAGGGGGTTTTTCCTGACGGACAGCAGGCACTATATTGTTATCTGGACTTCTGTTAGTCTGATTTCATATATGTATCTTTTGGTTTAATAAATACAAACGGGGTCTGTTGCTCGCAGAATGCTGCAGTCCGTTATCCCGTGCATCAGTCAGTTCTTGCTTATCCAGTGCAGCAGTCAGTTCCCCTATTTAACAAGTGACAAGTTACTAACTATGGTTTGATTTGTTGTCTATTGGAGGGAATAGGGGATACCTGAATTTTCGACCGCCTTCTGCGGTCTTCTTCAGAGAAATGTACTCTGCAAGAGTCACGGAATGCAAATATGTAGCTTAGACGTTATTGTTCGTTGCCCCTTGGGGAGGAAGCCAGTGATGCATTAACCCTTGGAAGGGTGCTCTTTCATTAACAGAGTTCTTGTCCAGGAATGAATGTAATGACTCTAGAAAAAGCCTTTTGTCCTTGTTTCTCACGCCTGTTTCCAAAATGCTCGCATAATTAGGGTGTATGTTGTGGTCAGTGGTTTCGGCATGCTGTTTTACCGCGGAGCCGACATTCCCATTCGTTCCAGGCACGTGTTCAGCTCTCTGAGACTTCCAACTTCTTTTACTCTCTCCAATATATGTAAATGGACATGCTCTGCAACTCACTTTGTACACAATTCCTTTCAACTGTTCTTTTGTCGGTCGGTCCTTAGGTTTCTTGAAAACATTACCCAATGTTTTAAGTGGTTTGAAAGCTCTTTGATGTTTTCGCGGTTGAAAATCCGTCTAATTCGCTCCGACACCCCTTTAACATATGGAATTGACGCCTATGCTTTTTGGTTCTCCCGAAGCTTTGGTTGTGTGTTTTTTGGTCGATCGACCGATTTAATGAAGTTTCCAGGTTAGCCATTAGCTTTTAGGTCGTTGATAACACGTCGCTCCTCGCTCTGTCTTTGCGCAGTTGTTGATGGAAGCATTTAGCACGGTCCAATCAGGTCTTATTAACAGCTCTTTTGCTTTTCACTGGGCTGTGTGAATGGAAATCTAAATGCTTGCTCGTACGTGTGGCCTTGCGGTATACACCCACCTCGATCTTCCGTCTTCATTCACAGCGTTGTTGGTGTCCAAGAAGGCTATGCTCTTCTTGCCCAGGGTTGTTGTAGGCATCTCCGCTGTAAACTGAATGTTGTTATTAATCGTCTCTCTTGATGCACGCGTTGGAATCGTCGACGTAGTGGCGCCACCATTTTGGTTTGATGGGCGAAGTTTCTAATGCTTTCTCCTCAACTTCTTGCATTACAAGCACTGCGATGACCGCACTGACTGGAGATCCCACGGTCAACTGGAGGTCCCATGGTCCCATGATCCCAATATTCAATGTTTATTTATTCATGTTTAGTTTGACGATAATGTTCCCTGCGTAACGGGGGAATTAGCATATATTTTCCGAGCCTCTAAAAGATATAGATACATATATTTTTTAAGGGGAGGGAAATCTTGTATTCGACAGGTGCGTGCATGAAATTTGAATTGAACGATCAGGATTCAGCATTCAGGCAGTACATCCTTCAGCATTCATTGCATCCCCCAAACCACCAGGCGACTCGCGCCTTCGGCGCTCGATTGACTTTCATTTCGTTGCGCAATCCATGAAAATTGCGCGCTAAGCCCCTGAAAGTTTCTAACACGTCTTTATTGTTTCAGATTCTTTTGACGCCGTTAACATCACATCAATCGGATGTTACCGTGACTTAGAGGATTATCCGGCTATCCCTAGGCTAGAGGGACAAGACCCGCGTCTGGATGGAGCGAACTACAAAGGGAGAACCGATGCAATAGAAAAGTGTGCATTTGTAGCTAAGCAACGCGGGAACAAAGTGTTTGCTCTTCAAGATGGTGGCATGTGCTTAAGTAGTTCCACTGCGCACATGACCTTTCAGGTATATGGCTCGTCAAGTCGGTGCAAAAGCGATGGAAGAGGAGGGAAAGAAGCAAATTATGTTTACGTTATTGGAGGAATCAAGGGTATGACCACTTTGTTTATTTTTTATTTATAAAAATAGATGAAAGCTATTGAACAATGAAGGGGAGCAGGACACATAAAACAGCGTCAATTTTCTTTAAAGATAAACTAAGCAAAAAAAGAAGAAAAAAAAAAAAGAACAAAGAAAGCTCTAAGATTATATAATGAAGTTAATTGAAACCTATATTGAGCGGACGCCTTTGGGGCATCCACTAGTGTCTGCTTAATACAAGGTGTCCGCTCTAAAAAGATTCAAATAAACTGTGCAATAATAGTTAGTTATTAATCCTTTGGTAACACGGTGTAATTCAGTGTAATACTGCTCATAGCAAAATGTCCATTCAGTCAATGCATCCATCTGGAATAACCTACTTAGCTATAAAACGACATCGCTGAGCTGAGCTTGTAGAAGCAAAAAGCCCTTGAAGTGTCCGCTCATTAATTTTGGTGTTCGCTTCCGCTTAAAAGAGGTGTCCGCTGAATGCAGGTTTATTTTACAGTAAATGTGGGAAGGAAATTTTCGGACTCAAGCTGGTGTCCACTTAATAGATGGTGTCCGCTTAATACAGGTTTAACTGTAGTCAGATCGAGTCACTGTATTTAACAATCAGTTTAACGTGGTTTTGAATTTCTTAGAAAGGTTTTTAAAATTTAGTAACTTGATTGAAATTTCTAATTTTTTTCGAATAGAGTGAACTGAACTAAGAATCCAAGATTTCCCGTGTAATTTTAAAGTTTTCATCGTCAACAGGTCAAGGGGTACTCTCACCTCTGGCAACTATAGCAACTTAATTTTGCCCCTCGGCAGGAATCCTTTTTGGCTCAATAAACCTGTACAGGCTGAATTTTCAGTGGCAAATAATTGATCTTCGGGACACTAACAAATCACGATATCATTCGATAACGGTGCTCAATAATTGTTTTGTCTTTATATCACCAAGTTTCTTTTCAGAGCCCAGGGCAGCAATGTGCCGCGTCTCATACAAGAGCGTGCTTTCAATAGATCGTTTTCACTGTCACGCAATAAAAAAATAAATCGAAAACCATCCAGTGGAAAAAGCTATGAAATTATGATGTTATAGAAGATATCTAAATAAGCCACTTCTCCAAGTTTTAGTTCTGTGCGTTTCCCCAAACTTCAGATATTCGTCGAAATGTTTCGCCGATATTTACAGAGCCCGGTACACCAATATGGCGGCCGGAAAATAGTGTAAACA